AAAACTTAAAGATTGAGCATTTATTAAACAGTGACAAGATGATAGACTTGTAAATTTACATAGTCATCAGGATATCTGATACCTATAATTTTAAACATTTTATTTTCCCCCAAAAGATGTATGAACTGCAAATAGAAATTAAAGAAAAACCAAGTTGGATGTTACTCTAGAGAGGGGTAATTAACCACTGTGAAATCCAAGCAAAGTAGTAGCCCACTTTAACAAGTAGAAAGCCTTTCCCTTGATCTCCCCCTGCTCTCAGGGACATTATTTACTTAGTCACTTAACCACTGATTTCCTCCTGACTATGGAGTGAATAATTTTATTACAATGTTGCCCAGGAACTCTCAGTTCCACTATATTCTTCGGATAAAAACTGAAATCAAAATGGCCACTAAAATAAATGTTTCTGAGAAAACTGCTTCACAGTCTAGATCCTATCCATTTTCTATATGAAATGGTAAGAAAATATATGAAAGGAAAAATATTGCCTGTACGCAAAACAGACATAGCTGAAATTAACTGAGTCACCCACCATTCATTCAAAGCATAACTGAAAGGGGTTTATAATCAGACATGGCAATTTTTTCCTTTACCTTCAGCATAAGAATAGGATGGACTCTGAGAAATGTGAACTATTATTTATCAGCCAGACTTTACATCAGATGATTTTTCTGAAGGCTGCAGCTTTGCCTCTTCATCCTGCAGCTGTGGATAACGCTATGAAAGAAGGTTTGGCAGACCTTCTATTTCAGCCATGGTTGAAAGAAAATAATAATGTCGTCAATTAGCAGCTAATGCAATAGTTGAATTACTGTGGCTTTTAGAAAACATTGGAATCATTTGCCTGCCTGTGGGTCTGCCCTATAGTGTGATAGAAGCAAACAAATGTTCAACTGACATTTTACTAGCTGGAGATTGATGGACAGTGTTTTTCCCATTTCAGAAACATAGGCTTACTTTCTGGTGTCTAGTTTCTTTATCAACAAAATGAGAATGTAACTGATGAACTGTCAAATTAGCAGGCATATAATAGGCATGAAATAAATATTTGTTGAGTGACTTAATTGATAATAGTGATCATCTACTGAATTCAAACCAGATGTGCTGGATACCATAGCATTCTCATTCTCATTTTGAATGTGGAAGGTATAAGGTTAGAAAGTAACAGAAGTGGAATTCAAAGAGTGGGCTTTTCCAGGGGGTACAGTATCACACTGCCTTTCCTATAGATACTATGATAATTAATAAAATTTAAAACACCTCTGTGTAAGAATATGCAGGAGTATAAGGTGAAAAAGACAAACTCAAGAGGTGGTTTGTATGGCTGAAATCTTAGCTCTACCATACATTTGCTGGATGCCTTTGAATAGTTTTTCTTCACCCCCCTGAGCCTGTTTTCATATCTATAGGATAAGGCTAATAATAGGATCTATCTCATAACCTTGTTATGAAAACTAAACTAGATCAATAATCTGTGTAATGTGCTTAGCACAATACCTGGCATATAATAAGCTCAGCATATAATAGCTGTTAGCTCATATACCTGGGTCTCTTTGACAGCAATTTTGCTCAGTTGCCAGTAGACTGATATATTTTTTCTTAGATAGCCAAACAGCAATGCATATATGTTGGTTGGGAAGACAATCTACTTCATTATAGAAGAAAAAAGAGGAGGAGAAGGAGGAGGAAGGGAGGGAGGGAAGAGGAAAGGAAAGAAACAATCTGAAGACTCCAAAACCATAGCCAAGGTGCATTCAGAAGGACAAGCAACTCCAAGTCCTCATTACTTCTTACTCTAACTGCAGGATTATTGCTACACATTTTATTCCCACCAAAAAATGGACAAAACACTCTCCCTTCATTCTCTCAGCAAATTGAAGCATATTCATATTTTCAAAAGAACCTTTACTAAATACTAAGAGAAAACAAAAAGAAAGCAATTACAAAAGCTACAAGCTCTTGCGTGTGTGTGTGTGTGTGTGTGTGTGTGTGTGTGTGAGATTTACTTTTCTCTGAGCTAATACCTATGGCTTTATTAATTCACTTCCTTAATATGCTTTTTGCCCTTTTCTTGCTATTGTCTGTTTTACACTTTGTATTGTGTGTGGATTTTTATAAGGTACCTAAAATAGTGGCAATAAAAGGGAGTCGGGTATAAAACAAAGATGATAAATGGGTATATAGATGGAAGATAGATAAATGACAGATAATTGGTAGACAGGTGATGGATAATAGATGATAGATAATGGACAGATATAGATACATACATACACGGATAGATAAATAATAGAAAATGTGTAGACAATAGATATGATAGATGAGACGGAAGGAGGGAGGGAGGGAGAGAGAGAGAGAAAAACAAACAAACAAACAAATAATTAAATAAATAAATAAATAAATAAATAATTATCCAGAATTTTTGAATCCTTGATAACTACCTCTAGGCAAGAAGGGATAGCATCCTTACCTCCCCACTTCTTCGCTCCATCTGGTGGACACCATCTTTTTTCCTGCCACACAGAAGTCCATGAATGGCCTATCTTGCTTTCGTCCCTTGGACTACCATTTCTCAGGGCACTTAGACTGATTCCATGACTTTGCTATTGTGAATACTGCTGCAATAAACATATGAGTGCTGATGTCTTTTTGACAAAATGATTTATTTCCCCTTGGGTATATACCTAGTGGTGGGATTGCTAGGTCAAATGTTAGTTCTATTTTTAGTTCTTTGAGAAATCTCCATCCTGTTTTCCATAGGGGTTGGACTAATTCAAATTCTCACCAACAGTTGCAGTTTTTATGTTTTCCCTTTTCTCCGCATCCTCACCAGCATCTGTTATTTTTTGAGTTTTAAATAATAGCCATTCTGACTGGTGTGAGATGGCATTTCATTGTGGTTTTAATTTTTTCTCTGATGATAAGTGATGTTGAGCATTTTTTCACGTTTGCTGGCTATTTGTATGTTGTCTTTTGGGAAGTATCTGTTCATGCCCTTTGCTCTTTTTTAAATGGGGTTATTTGGTTTTTATTTGTTGATTTAAGTTCCTTATAGATTCTGGGTATTAGTACTTTGTCAGATGCATAGTCTGCAAATATTTTCTCTCATTCTTTTACTCTGTTGATTGTTTCTTTTGCTGTGCAGAAGCTCTTTAGTTTAATTAGGTCCCATTTGTCTATTTTTGTTTTTGTTTCATTTGCTTTTGAGGTCCTAGTCATAAATTCTTTGTCTAGGCCAATATCCAGAAGAGTTTTTCCCAGGTTTTCTTGTAGGATTTTTGTATTTTCACATCTTATGTCGTCTTTAATCTATCTTAATTTTTGTATGTGGTGAAAAGTAGGAGTCTAGTCTTCCACATAGGGTCAGTCAGTTTCCCCAACATTGTTTATTGAAAAGAGTATCCTTTCCCCTTATTTTTCTTAACATTGTCAAAGATCAGTTGGTTGTAGGTATGTTTCTGGTTTCACTATTGTGTTCCATTGATCTATGTGTCTATTTTTGTACAAAAACCATGCTGTTATGGTTACTATAGCCTTATAGTCTTAAGTCAGATAATGTGATGCCTCTGGCTTTGTTCTTTTTGCTTAAGATGGCTTTGGCTATTCGAGCTTTTTATTAGTTCCATATGTATATTAGAATTGTTCTTTCTAGTTCTGCAAGAAATAATGTTGGTAATTTGATAGGAATTGCGTTGAATCTGTAGATTGTTTTTGGCAATGTAATCATTTTAATGACATTTATTCTTCCTATCCATGAGCATGGGATGTTTTTCCATTTTTATGTGTCACCTATTATTTATTTCATCAGTGTTTGGTAGTTTTCCTTGTAGAGGTCTCTAACCTTCTTAGTTAAATGCATTCCTGGATATTGTGTGTGTACGTGTGTGTGGGTGTGTGTGTGTGTGTGGCAATTTTAAATAAGATTGAGTTCTTGATTTGGTTCTCAGCTTCAGTGTTATTATTGGCTATAGAAATGCAACTGATTTGGGGGCATTAATTTTGTATCTTGAAACTTTACTGCAGTTGTTTATCAAACATGGTAGTCTTCTGGAGGAGTCTTTAGGATTTTCTAGGTATAGGATGATGTCATTAGTGAATAGAGATAATTTGACTTCCTCTTTTTCCTATTTGAATGCCATTTTTTCTCTTTCCTGATTGTTCTGGCTAAGATTGGAAGTACTATGTTAAATACAAGTTGTGAGAGTGGACATCCTTGTCTTGTTCCAGTTATTAGGAATAATGCTTCAAGCTTTTGCCCAGTCAGTATCATATTTGCTGTGGGTTTGTCATAGATGGTTTTAATTATTTTGAGATATGTTCTTTTGATGCCTAGTTTTTTGAGGATTTTTATCATGAAGGTGTGTTGCATTTTATCAAATGCTTTTTTATGTATCTGTTGGGAGGATCGTATGGTTTGTGTTTTTAATTGTTTATTTGGTGAATCACATTTATTGCTTTGCATATGGTAAACCATCCTTGCATCCCTGGAATAAAACCTACTTGATCACAGTGAGTTATCTTTTTGATGTACTGCTGGATTTGGTGTGCAGTATTTTGTTGAGGATTTTTATGTCTGTGTTCATAAGGGATGTTGGCTTGTAGTTTTCATTTTTGTTGTGTCCTTGCCAAATGTTGGTATCGGTATGATACTAGTTTCATAGAATGAGTTAGTGAGAAACAGGAGATTTTTTGATGCAATCATATTTATCTCCTGTATCCCCCTTTATACTTCATAAAAGGCAATCAGAGGCATTCAAGAAATACTTGATTTGGACTGAAATAAAAACATATCTTTGTCTCATTTATTGGATTTTGAATTACAGAATTTAACAGCTAGATATAGTTAGATTTTCCACATCTTCTTTATCATTTTCTACATTTTTTAGCCATTGCTTTATTTAGAATTTTTTAATCTGTACAGGCCATTAATTTATGTTACTATTGAAGAGCTGCCATGTATAATAAACTAAATTTAACAATCTTTGTATCAATTTTTATAGGGATTCAAGGATATTTCTCTTGAGAGGTTTATACATGGTGGAGCCAATGTTACTGGATTCCAGTTGGTAGATTTTAATACACCTATGGTAATCAAACTAATGGATCGCTGGAAGAAACTAGATCAGAGAGAGTATCCAGGATCTGAGACTCCTCCAAAGGTATTTGTTTATTTTTATCTACTGTATTACTGATAGTTTCAAAATTTAAGATGGAAAGTTTATTATACAGTTTTTCCATTAACATTTTGACAAACATAGTATGGCATGGGAAAAAAGCATTTTGTCTTTATAACTGCCTTGCACATGCACTTAATAATTTCTAAATTTCTGTATTTAAGAGTAGAGTTGCTAGACATTAGCTCAAGCAATTTACTATTATTATTACAGTACTATACATATGAATTTCCTTACAGAATTATATATATCTTTTTAATTGTTAACTAAATACTTCAAATGTGAAAGAGCATCCGTAACTTTTCCTCCACACAGAAATCTTCATGAAGTGATTTACAATGAGTAGGCAAATTAGGAAATTAGCAGAAATGTAAAATATACAAGCTTCTGCAAAAGTTTTCTTTCAAATTAACAGTGAAAAATCTGGTTGTTTTCATTGTTTTCTGACTGATATTGTGAAAGTATGCTATTAATATTTGCTCAGAAAAGGCTGGTAAATTTCTGATCATAAGCATATTTGATCAAACTAAACAGATAGATGACTTTCTTAGACCTCATGTTAAATTATGGCATAATGTGTCTTAAACTCCAACTTAGTGGTTTGAGCCCCTACCTAATAAGGCACCATCATCATCATTTGTTAATCTATTACTAACAGTGTATTCCAGTAAAAAGTTTTATATGTAATTTGGAAATTCAAGCCTAGGAAAAACACGATCTAAGGCTAAAGGATCTCAGCTTTGCTTCTATTTTCTAATTATAATATTTCATAGTGGCTATGTCAATTTCTTCTCAGAAATACTGGAATTTTGCCAGCTCAGCATACCATCTTCACTGCCTTATAAAATCACAGAATTTCAAAACAGAACATTAAATGGATGTCCACTATGTGTCAGGCACGGTTGTCCAATCCTTTGATTTTACAGATAAATACATGCAAATTATTAAATGGATATGTTAGTTGGCAGTCCTTGAGTCAGGGACTAGATTCATGGAATACACAGGATATAATTATTTTAATGTCTCCTATTTGATTATATCCAACTAGACTCGTCTATGCTATAGCTTTGGCCTCTCTGTTATATAATCGTCTCATCATTCACAACTCTTGGCATGATGCTAGGCATTCAGTAGCCATTTAATAAATAAATGCAGTACAATTAATTCTCATTATTCACAGTAGTTGTGTTCTATAAAGTCTTTTTAAATACTGAATAAGTAAATATAGAACTATTGCTCCCAGGGGTAATATAGGGTTAAGTTCTGCTAGCCTCTGGTTACAAACTTCTTGTCAACTATTCAGTACATAACCTTGTTTTATGGGTGTTTCTGTTTAAAGAAACCTTATTTAATGTATTGTTGGTTCACGGACATTGAACTCCTGGCCAACAGCACCGTGGCTCATGCCCGAATGAAGCTTATTTAACATGCACATTTTCTCCATAAGGCACATCACAGATTCCTTGCACTTAAGGGAACACTAAACAGCACGTCAACACTATGCTTTTGGGCCATGTTAAACAGTGAAATCATCAGCAAAAAGCACAAAACTGCAGAAAACATGGCACTAAATAGAACACAAAAAGGCCACTTGTTTACAGTATGAGAGCAGAAACAAGGAAACAGTGTTTCCTTGTGCAGCCACAGCTGGGACCTTGTGTTAGTTACTCAAATTTTTCACCACTCTATACAGTTCCACAAATAACCACAAAAGTGTCATAAGTATCGATTTAAGAGTCACAAATAAATATCAGCAAGGAGGAAAATTTGAAAATTTAGAATCCACAAATAATGAGGATTGATTATAATTAATTAAAGTGTACTCTTAAGTGTTTGATTTTTCAACCAAGATTAAAAGCATGACTTCTGATCGTGTCACCTCCCTGCTTTAAAAAAATCTCCTGGAATCAAGGTCTTCCATTCTATCGGCCAATCAAGACTTTACAGTTGCATGACCCTCTACCCCCTTTCTGATGCTCCAGCCAATGTGAGCTGCCCTGCATTTCCCCACCCTTTATCATTCCCTGTGCACATACTTTTACCTCAAAAGTCCTCCACCACCATGTCTACCTGTCGAAATCCAACCACCTTCCAAGGCTTTATCTCAAATTCCACTTTCTCTATGAAATCTTTTCTTTTTTTTTTTTGTAAATGTGATTCCTTCCCGCCTGTACTCTCCATAGTATTTGATTGGGCAATTCGCATCAGGGATTTAATATAATTATTTGCACACTTACTGTTTCACTCCTATAAACTCTCTGGGGCAGTAACCATCAAATACTTATCTTTGTAGTCTTCATGATTCCTAGCTAGAGTCTGGTACATTTTTCAAAGAGCTCTCAGATATGATATGAAATTTCATCCTCATAATAACCATAATAGAGAGTCACTATTATCTTGTTTCATTTCATTTTGCTCTGTTTTATACTCCATACCCAAGAAAATGTGCTTCACATTCCCATAAACCTATGAGTCACAGAATTAAAATTCATCCCAGTTCTTTCTTCTCTAATCCCATACTTTTTCTACTGCACCATGATTCTGCCAATTCTGTCTTGTTATCTATAAATCTTAGTAAGTGAAATCATTTCATCATTCTAATCACTTATCAGAGCAGTAAATAACTATAGGGCACTATTTACCCTGCCTAAAAATGAAATGATTAGTAAGAATTTTCTAGGTGCCACCTAGAAGTTATCTGCCCGTAATTGTGGTTCCCTGGATTGTAGCACAGTAAGACACATAGAAAAGAATTACATCCTTTGAAAAGGTAAAACTGATTTAAACTACTGCTTCTTTCCATCTGTCAGCTCTATGACCTGTCAAATCCCAGGTCTTTGCCACTCTGGCTGAATGTCTCCTTTACTCTCACCACTCTGTGTGATACCTGCTCTTTTTTCTGGTTCACATATTTCATAAAAATGAATGCACTTTTTAAAACACAGCAAGTGTGTTTGCTTTTTGGTGCCATCTCTTCTCAGCTTCTTTCTTCCTGTTGAAAAAGCAACAATATTTTTATTTTTTCCTCCTTTGGTCCTCAAGTACCAGCATTGCACTTTTCTCTTGCCCTTTGCGACTTAAGCAAGATTCATTTTATTTCTCATTGTTATTTTCTTGCCTTAACAAAAAAAGATGGTTTGATGACTTTCTCTATTCAAAGATGTGTTGGGTCAGGCAGGGGAGGAGGCACATTCATTTTTGGTGTAGTACCTTGCTTAAACACCTTAGTTTTTCTCAGCTACCCCATCCTAATAATTGTGAAGGGCATGTCTCTCCAGAAGCTTGTTTTGTCAAGTCCTGGAGGAATATATAGGAAATTTACATGGTTCTTTTAAATACTTCTAATACAAGAGTTATATCCTATACTATTGAACAGTTCTTTGTTAGAATTAATGCTCCTTATTTTATCCATGTTTTAGTTTTTCTCTTCCCTGTAATGGTGGCTGCTGTGTCTCATGCCCATGTTGCCTAAGTTTACTTTCTTTTCTTTTCTTTTTTTTTTTCTGAGACAGGCTCTTTCTCTGTCACTCTGGCTGAAGTGCAGTGGCACGATCAGCTCACTGTAGCCTTGACCTCCTGGGCTCAGGGAATCCTCCTCCCACCTCAGCCTCCCAAGTAGCTGGGACTACAGGTGCACACAACCACGCCTGACTAATGTTTTGCGGTTTTTGTAGGGATGGGGTTTGGCCATGTTGCCCAGGCTGCTCTCGAACTCCTAGACTCAAGTGATCCACCCACCTCAACTTCCCAAACTGCTAGGATTACAGGTGCGAGCCACCATGCCCGGCCCTAAGTTTACTTTCTACAAATGGAATTTCAAATGATTTTTCTTCATTTGAAAACACAAAATCGAGGGGATCCTCCTCCACTTCCTACAGCACAAACCTACTGCTCATACAGGCATAGAAGGTGTTAATTATAAGGAACTGACCATATGGAATTTCTAAAGGAGACAATGTAGTTTTTGTCACGATAAGTAGTTAGTAGTTGATACTATTTAGCACAATGACTAGTACATACACATTTGCTGAATAAGTAGATCTGTCATGCTTCCAGAAAATCGTGCCCCATTTCCATGTGTTCAGGAATTTTCCAATAAATGTCTGCCAAAAGCGATCCCATGTTGATTTATTTTTATATTTAGAAAATTACATTTTTATCTCAACCTTTCCTCACTTTTTCTCCTAACCTTAATAATCTTTTCTCAGAGGTGGAGGGGAGCTCACTCTTTTCTCAGACAGAAGCAGATGGTCTATCCTTCACATCTCCACTTTGATCCCAGGTTATATCGAAAACTTAACAAAATGACTTTGCCTTCCTGTGCACCTTCATTGGGTGTAGTGTGGCAAGATTCATTCCTATTTAGCACAGTCACTGATGCATACACATTTGTTGAATAAGTAGATGTTATTTCTGGCATCATATTTCTGAATAACAATAAACAATTCCACTCATTCTTCTGGGAGACTAAACAAAGATATATACTTCAAGTCCATGAACTTATATTAAATCTCAGGGAACCTTGCTAGGCATTTTAGAGGAGGAAAAGATTAAGAGGCCCAGCCCTCCTGGGGCTCAAGCATAGAAACTGACTACAAGGCAGATTACACAGCTGCATTAGCCTTTGATACGTTACCTATTTGTTCTGGGACACAACAGAAAGACCTTGCCTAAGGATCTTTCTTCTACCAACTGATGGAAAACTGTTTTATTAGAATTTCTATTTTTCAGAATGGTTTTTCTCCTTTTTGAGTCAGGATGATAAGATTTGGTATACAGGCTTTATATTAAAGCAAGAATAGAAATTTCTGAAGCTAGAGTCAATTAATTATCAGTAATTTAACCATCCTTCAGATAGAATGGTGCTTTATGTCATACACTTACAAAGACCCCAGACCGTTTCTAGCACTAGATAAGATGTTGACATTTACCATCATATTCATTTTCATTTGGTTAGTACACCTCTGCTCTGACTTATGATGGAGTCCTTGTGATGGCTGAAACTTTCAGAAGTCTTAGGAGGCAGAAAATTGATATCTCAAGGAGAGGAAATGCTGGGGATTGTCTGGCAAATCCCGCTGCTCCATGGGGCCAGGGGATTGATATGGAGAGGACACTCAAACAGGTAACTCACAATTTTATTTCAGTTCAATTCATTTCATGGTCTTCTTTTAGTTGAATGTTCAAAAAACAGACTAATTTATCCAAGCACAAATACGTACTACAATTGCTACTCAAATATATCAAGCCATCATTTTTGGGACATTTCTAGATAAAATACAAGGTAGAATTTTGCTGTTTACATTTTATGTGGATGCATAGTCAGGATAAGCTAGCTTATGTTTCTGTAATAACCCAAATCTCAGTGACTTAAAACAACAAAGGAGCTTTGCTTACTCAGACATATGCTAGATTAGCAGGGGCACTTGGCTAATTGTAGTCACTTGAGGACATAGACTGGCAGAGCAGTTACCATCTTGAATTCTGCAAAGGGAAATGGATAGTTGGGGGCACATTTCAAACTGGCAATTAAATTCTGTGGCTTAATAATATCACCTGTCCTGCCTATTTACAACTCACATGTCAGAAAGAGTCGCATGGGCCTAGCTAACCACAAGGTTAGCTAGGGTTCAGGAAGTATAAGCCCACCTGGGTCCCAGGACATTCCAGAACCAGAAATAATGACTACCTCTGGAGATCTTCAAATTGCTTTGTAACTTTGGATTAAGTAGTCAGTTTATTTCTGTCTTTTATAATTACACCAACACTATTTGTTCAGATAATTAAGGTAATATATACATATTTAATGTTACATTTTAAATGTTCTGAAATGTCACAGGTTCAAAACATAGGTAAAAGCAAATTAAAAGGAAATTTGGAATAAAATATATTTCAATATTTTCAAAAATGTCTTTATATGTTTTTGCTTCTTATATCTTAATTTTAATATTAGCAAGGTGAGAATATGATCTGGCATATATATCAGGGTTATTTAATCCATTTTGTGGATATACAAATAAAACTGAAAAGTAACCATAAAAAAATTGTGATTCCTATAAAAATACTTTATAATTGAGGGAGGATTCTTCTAGTAAAAATGGAAACTTTATAGTATTAAAAACAAATAAAACATATTCCTCTTCCAGGGGTATAGCAAAATTGCTTATATATCCCTTTGATATTTCTCTTTCAGATTCTACCCCAATAGCTCAAATACCTAATGGCATTTCAGTTAGTTGTTTATAGTTTATAGTTCCACTTTTTTAAGTAGTTGTAAGCCCAGCAGATGAAGTTGAAATTCCTATAAGTAAAATTGCAAGTGAACACATGTGGTTTTCTTTTTCACTTAGGTTCGAATTCAAGGGCTGACAGGGAATGTTCAGTTTGACCACTATGGACGTAGAGTCAATTACACAATGGATGTGTTTGAGCTGAAAAGCACAGGACCTAGAAAGGTGAGCCACAATCAAACTGAAAAACAGAATTCTCTGTTTACTTAGTTTGTATGTAACATTTTAAAGGCATACAGAAGAAAGATGGCTGGACATTTCCCTTTTTTGTGAGTACTTACAAATACTTTAGTACTGTCTTTATAATCAATGCTGAGATAAATGTGTGTGTCATGTAATTGATATTTAGTAGTGTGCCCAAGCTGAAACAAACTAATTTATACACTGTTTATATCCCTTATCCAAAATGGATGCAATATTTTGGGTGGGGTTAGCAAAAGGAATCCCACAAAACAAAATTGGCTCTGCAGAACAGAACATGAAGCAGTAAAGAGACATAAGCACCTCAAGGTAGTCATTTACAAAATTATTAGAGCAAGTATCAAAAAATTACTTCTAACGGGTGAACATATTTAGAATAGGCTGGGTGTTCTTGAAGTAATCAACTAGATAAATTTCAATGAGCAAAAGAGAAAGAAGACAGATGGTAAGATTATTGTTAGACTGAGAGGGAAAGAAACATCTAAGTTGTTCAGGAAGGTGCTGGTGCAAGGGTCCTGGATTTGGGAAGATAATTCTGCTAGTGGTAAGATGTGAGTAGATACAGCAGCAGTGTTCCCAGCATTCAAGAGGTACTTTATACAGTGCAACCATACAGCCCCACCACAGTAATTGGTTATAAGTGTTTTGTAGCTAACTCATGTAATTTTTAACATTCCTGTTATCTAGGAACTAGGATGTTCAGGGAAACAGACACTCAAGTTAACCTTATCTAAAAGCTGTATTTGGCTGTTTAAAAAAATTTCCAAAATATATTTTCATGCTTTTATGTAATAATGATAACTGCAACTTATGAAATGCCTGCTGTGTCCTAAGCACTGGACTTGGTGCTTTGCATGATTCCATCCTCATGACAAACCTATAATTTGAGTATTAGTATTTCTCTTTTTTATAAACGACAAAATTATGACCCAATGAGTTATCTTATCCAAAGCCCGTAAGTGAGAAAACATATTTAACTCTTAGTATTTTCTCCCTTACTGATCTACATAGGAAGAGACGATTTCCTGCTGGAGGAAAACAAATAAAGGAAGGCTGTATGGGGGAGGTGGGATTTTAAATTGCCAGGATGTTAGAGTTTGGAAGGATGAAATGGAAGGGGCAACAACCTGAAGAAAGGCTTGGAGGCAGGATCGTTAAAGTTAAGGTGATACATGGAAAATAGCAAAGGCTTTCCTAATTGCATTTTGCTTCAGACTACGATATGGGTGTGCTTCTCTATCTGTGAGAAGTTTGGAGCTGCCATGAAAACCATCTCTAGATTTCCATCTTCTTAATGGCATAGACTGTGTGGAGGCTGCCAGCTAATACATGGTAAACTGGAGCCTACCTGATCCAGATCCTGAGTGGCAGGAGATGGACAGCAGCCGGGGGGCCCAGCTGCACCTCAGGGCAGGCTCTTCTAAGGAGATTGACTGAAGCAAGGGAAGGAGACGTTAAGAAGAGCTCACTCTACCAGCACACAGCCAGCAACAAAAAAGAGGCAAGCTTTAAGCAGAGATCCTCTGCTAGCTGGGGAGCAGATAGGATATTCCACAGGCCTCTAAAAATGTTAACAAGTGGACAATGCTAAATGCTAACAGGTGGACAAAGGCAAGACTGACTCACCTCCTTGCCATACACCAGACCTTGCAAAATTTGCGATTTAAACAGAATCTTTTAAAATGCAAATGACAATTACTTATTTTACAAAACTTTAAGTGCAGAACATCAAATCATTCTCTATAAGAGAAAGAATAGTGGAAAAAGAAAGCTGGCGCTAACTAGAAGTAATATGAAGTGGGCTATTCATAGTACTGAATCTTTTCATAGCCTATTGAACCATGATGGCAACAAAAATTAAGACTTTTCAAAGAGAAACTTAAGGAATAAGTTGGGAGAGTGATGAACAGTACATCTTCACACCCAACTGACATTCATCTAAGGCTCCTAAAAGAAATATGCAGTATAAAATGGTGTAGACTCATCTATCTTCGTTTTTCCGTGGCAATGATCAACTCGGGCATTGTGTCAGGAATATTAAACTTAAAAATGAGCTACCATGAGAGACACTATGCTGGTGAAACTAGGCAATATGTCTGAGAAGTGAGCCATCATTCTTGTAAATTGAACACTTGCCAGCAAGGGAGCTATCTTTGAAAACAGATCAGAGAGTCAACCCATCAGTTTGTCTGACTTCTGCAACAGGAAAACTGATTGAGAGTCTCATTAAGCAGAAGCCACAAAGCTCTTTCTGAAGTCCCAGCTCCTAAGTATAGTGGAATCTTCTTATCACTCCAGTGACCCCCATCCAGGGCTGCAGAGGGAATGCTGCAGCGTTGCATGGTTTCAGAAATCTTTAATTGCAAAAATTTTATTTATTGAGAGCACATTATATGCCAGACACTGTAATGGAAAATTGATGTGCATTTTTTTATTCAATCCTCATGACAACCTAAAAATAAGAGATATATTTTTTCTCCTTCTATCGAAAAGTAAGGTTCAAATAAACTAAGTTACCTGCTCAGAGATGCTCAGCTAGAAAGAGGTGGAGCTTCAGTAGAAACTAAAATTCCTGCAGCTCTAGAGCATCACTCAAGATCTTGACTCAGGTTTCAAGATCTTGAAACGTCATCAGTCCCATTGCCTATAGGGATTTAGGGCTGGTGTGGGAATTAGGCCAGATTTTTCAGGGCAGGTCTAGTCAAAGCAGCTCTCCAAGGAACCAGCTTTGAGTAGAATAGGAGTTCCTCACAGCCGCTCAGTTCCTGTCTTTTCTCTGTTCTAGGCCAAGACTATCCTAAATACAGACACATTTTCTCACATATCTTAGTATAATTACATTTGCATACAAATCACCTTTAGGAGTTCAAAGAAGATTGATATTTTTCTGACATCCTTTATCAATTTAGTGATTTAAATGCTTCCATATTTCTGCTCTAGCATTACAAAATGACTTTTCACCCACTTTTTGTCTATAGGAAAAATATCCATTTCCCTGTTAAATGAAATCAGTCATGGGAAAAGTTCTTAATAAAATGCAAAATGCTATGAAGACTGGAGAGAGAAATTCCATCTTCTGTGAGGTCTGGGTGCAAACTTTAGGATCCCTTTCTTTAGGAACTGACTCCTTGTATAGACTTAGTTCTAAATAAGCCCATGGTCCACATGAAATCTAGCATTAATTGGTCCCATATCACAAAATATGACTTTCTGGTTTTTTAACCAGAATTGCATGTAGATATAAGGCAAAAAATTAAAGTTTGCTTTTTATTTTAATTTTCCAGCACTTCTGAATCATTTGTCTTTAAAAGGGGAATAACTGCAAACCCATGGTTTAGTTTTTAAATGCAAAATGTCAAGGTCTTGCCAATATCTAGGTACTCTCCAAAAATGTATCCCAGATCTGTGATTCTTTCTATTGTGGGACTCATTAATAAAGAAAAATTGTCTCTCCTGAAAATTGGCTGATGAGCTTTTCAGGATGGGTGCATTTTAATGGAGTGCTAAACTGTAAAACCCCTTTTCATGTCATATAACTTCATATGGAAAGGAGAGTTAACAAGAATCAACTGACTTAAGTATACATAAGAATTGAGGAGAGGGTGGGTCTCAAATATATACTTGTTTTAAATTAAAATTATCATATAATTATTAATAAATGTCAACCAGAAATTGATTCACATAGACTATTGAAAAAAACTTGCTGAACTTCTAATTTTGGATCAAAATAAGAAGTGTAGCAAGCCATATTAATAAAAAGTCTTTTTCTCCATCTGTTTTGTTATTGAATTATATATGCAACACTTGTGAATAATCTAGTGCCTCTTTCTGACATATTAATGCTTACTCTATTTTAATATGCTCATAAATACTAACATGGCAGTTGAGAAACCTGGATTAAGCAAGTGAGACTTCCAAAACATTAGAACAAATAGTGAATACAGACCAGTGAGCAAATGCATACATTTTATTGGAGACATGAGTTTTATCAACTGAATCAAGAAATTCAAGAAAGAAGTTTGTCAAGCAGTAAATGAACACCCATTTTGGGATGTCGCGTAGCATAACAGCAAAGCATGTAGACTTGGTGTCATAGAGACCTGAGTTTTGAATTCTGGCCTTACTAAAGTGTAACTTTGTGCAATTTCTTTAGCCTTCTAAAATGAATCCTCATCTCTAAAATGTGGATAATAATTGTCCCTACTCCATACTTGCTATGTATATTCACTTTAAGATGTATACTTTTAAAAAGCGTTGAATACATTGTCTGCCTCAGAGCAAGCACTCAATATGTAATAGCCATTATTATTGCTTAATGGTCTGCAAAAACCAAAGAATCCTAAATTTCCATTAAGATTCCATTGTAGCTTACTACTTTCAGAGTACTTAAAATTACTTAATTCATTTTTAAGAAAAAGTGTTTGACTTCTAAATTAAAAAATAATAATTTAAAATGAAAAAATACAAATTTAAATGTAATATTTGAAAGCAAAAGCATTGACCATTAATATTCATCTCTGATGCAGTTAGCATTTCAAAAAATGGTAAGATTGTTACCTAGTGGCTAGGTTATATCAAACCTAAAACCATTCCTGTTTTGCTTTAAAAATATGTAGGTTTCTTTTGCTTGGAAATATTCCATACATGTTCTTCTTATAAATCTGGCCATTCCCTTTACTATACAACCTGTAACTTTATTGATAAAGTCACACAAATTAATTTAGGGGGCACCAGTCTATCTCACTAGAGGAGGGGATCTGCATAAAATAATGCTCCGTGCTCATATTCCTTTTGGAATCACCCATTCCCAATCGCTTGGTCACTCCACTATTGTAAACAGTAAATTTTCCAAACATGTAACAAGACAGGATCCTTAGCACCAGGAAAACTGGCTCATGGGCAAGTAAGAACACTTCCAATCACTTTTTCTTTTCCACTGGCTTTTGTTTTGTTTGTTTACTTATTCATACCCTTCATTATTCTAAGAAGAACTAGAGTAAATGCTTCTAAAATATGTTTTCAAGCATGTTCTCTATTTGGCAGGTTGGTTACTGGAATGATATGGATAAGTTAGTCTTGATTCAAGATGTACCAACTCTTGGCAATGACACAGCCGCTATTGAGAACAGAACAGTGGTTGTAACCACAATTATGGTAAGTGTTGGTCTATGCTTTATGGTGTTCCGTTTTGTCCACAGGCAATTTTAACTCCCAGCGATGGTGAGCAGGGAGGGCAAAGCTGACTGTTAGCAATGGTGACATGGGTGTTCTGATCCACAAAAGCCTATTGAGGCTTTGAATAGGTTCGTCCTAAGCTTTGAGTACATATAGTACTTTTATTTGTATTATCTTTTGTCACATTGTTGTTCTTGGAAAAATGCTCAGATGTTACACATTGAGACTGTCAAACTCTAGTTGGAAATGTATGAAATGCTAAGACCCTAAAGCACAAAACAGTGAACATGACAAAGGTCAACCACCAATCACATAAATATGTCCAGTAGTAAACATATTATTATTGTTACTATGTTTTTAAAAAGCCAATGTAATAATAATAGTGTTTAAAATTATAATTTTCAGGTAGTTTAATCATTGGATAATGATTGTATTGCCTGTTTACAATAGCAAAGATGTGACTGTGAAGATTTTAATGAGCATGATTTATACAACTAAATGATTTAGGAATTAATTTTGTTTTTATTTTGAATGAGAAAAGGGTTTTCTTCCACCGATTATTTTTCTCATTGACCAGTGAGAAGTACACATTATAGTTTATTGAACTTCTAAAATTTAAGAAGAATACGATAGCTTCATTCGGCCACATCACAAAGTGAAAAGTCCTCTAAATTTTAAGACTGCTTTTTCAAAGAGATTCTGATGAAATTACCTTTTAAATAATAGAACATCTTATGTATTTTTCTCTTCTAAAGTCAAACATGCCCTTTAAAGTCAACGCTAGTCAAAAGAGATCAACAATTGGTGACCTTTTCTATCTCATTTAAAGTTACATATACTCAGTGCACGTCTCTTTAGGCAAAACAAGTTTTAAATTATTTATGGAAATCTTACTCTAAATAAATGGAAGTATTTTATGTAATTTAGTTTTTAGCTTTTGTCATTTTTAGTTTCAGGTTTTTAGTAATGTTGAGTTGTTCCCAAAAATGATATAAGGTTAAAGCATGAAAATGCCAGAGAGAAGCCTTCATATGTTGCACTTAGTTTTAACCGTGTTGCATCACCAGTCAGCAATTTAATGTAATCTGACAAGCCTTCAGCAGACGTTTATGATTTTAGAATGCAAACCAACCAACAGAGTTTTTGTGTAAACCTTCTAACTTAATTGTATAATATTTGCATGGGACTTGAAAGCAATATATATATATGTATGTTTCTTTTCCTAAAAAAGACACAGTAATGGAAAGTCATACTTCAGTACAGTCCTCCTCTTTTCAGCCTCTGATGAAGAATCCTATTTTAAGAAATTGATCAAGAAAGAAAAGAGTTCCGCGCTGTTCGACCATTCCTAACTAAGGCTCAACTCTTGTTCTCCAGTGTAGTAAATTTAAGCTTATTTTTCATGTGGGATTCTTCTTGGATGACCAACTCTGGACTACCAGAAAAAAAAATTTTTTTAAGTTCTGTGACTTTCCTGAGATACTAGAACAAAAGAAGAATTAATCTTCATCTTTCTCAAGAAATAGATGTTGACAAAGAATCATTTAGCGATTCTGACATATCAATTCCCCTATCTTGAAATGAGGTCACTGTACGTAAATGATGGAATTATATCACTCCATTTCCAAGGGTAGATTTTCTATAAGTAAATATCTTGGAATTTGTGTGCTTGTTTTCTGAATATATACAGTTGTTTTCTTTAAAGATCTCTTGGAATTTTGCCTGTTCTGTGTGAAATAAAGTGTTTTAATGTGCATTACATGTATAATATAGAGAATCTCCTTTCCATCCCTGTTATTAAAGGGACTGGACAAATAATTCTTAAAACCAAAATACTGAATTAATTTTGCAAGCATGGCTAGTTTTCAGGAAGCATGCTATCAAAAAAAGACTAAAAATGACTAAAAAAATCCAACTGTTTTCTATATATATCTATATATAGAAATATATAGATAAAGGATATTCTGTAAAGTTATATGTTGTTTGACAGTAAAGTCATCAATATTTTTGCTATCAAAATAGTATAATACTAGCATCTGTCTTTTTGTATGAAAATGTAATCTTTATATAAATAATACCTCTGGTATTTGCAACTGCATAATCATTCAGTAATTCAAAAAGACATATACTAGAATCCTTTTTCTGAAAGTGTTCCTTCAATTTGCTTTTGTTGAAAATGGTAGTCCAGGACCTGTAATATCCCTCCACTTCCTTCATTATGAAAGAAATCCCTTGTAGATAAACAAGATGTTGGCATCTGCATGTAATTATCCCCAAATTCAATTGAAAACTCCCAATACAGATGGAATTGGCTAGACATTTTAATATATGTGATACCTATATCTAGATATAGAAGAAGGCTGAGAGTGAGCACTGGATATAATTCATTTTGATTGACATTGATATGGTGTTATTGTTTTTCCAGTTGTCTGTCCTTTGTGTATGTTGTTATTTATATGTTGATATACTGTAACACTATATGCTATTGCTAAATAAAATTGATTGAGAAATTCAGTTACTCATAAATATTTATTGAGCGTCTGCTATGTACTAGGCACAGTTCTAGGCCCTGGGGATATGTCACAGACAAAAATCCTGCACTCAATGAAACTTATAGTATATTCAGAGAAAGCAGACCAGAAACATAATTAAGAATTATATTAGCTATCTTTATTAAATATAATGTAGCATTAACTTTTTATGGCTGTTGAAAGTTGTTTTTTCTTATAACAGTGTTGTATATCTTCAATGTGATTTTCATTTTAATAATAAATTTATTCTACCTGACTAATCATACTGAATATACCACAGCAAAATCTAGTGGAAACTAAATTAATATCATCATTTTTATCTTTAAGTCTTGTTGACTAAAAATTTTACAAAATCAATAAAATTTATAAGACTGTGACCATATTGATTTAACTTTTTGTATTAAAAGTAATAATTTCTACAAATAACCCAAAGAAGCCATATCTATTCCATGTGGTTTGGATAAATACAGCAATTGAGGGAAAAGCCGTTTACAGTAGATCTTGGGAGAAGGGAGGGTGGTGTTTTCCTCTGTAATCTTACTACTTTCTTGGCTATTGAACTCTCTGGAAAAGGGGAGATAATACAGTGATATTTCAGACGAGCTCCTTTTTTTCCCAAGGCTTTACTACCGAAGTTAAGAGATGCTTATGATGCATTGCTCAACTACAAAGATATTTCTTACCATCTCATGAACATAACAATCCTTTAAGCAAACTTTCCATAAAACCAAATGTATTCACTCCAGTATCAGAATTACGTTACAAACCTAAAAGCAATTATCCTTATCACACATGATCTTTCCAGAGCTTACTTTTTGTACTTTTTATAACATGCTTGATATTTTTTCTTCTCTATGTAAAATTCTGTAGATGCACTATACATATGTATGTGCATTATAATAACATACACACACACATTTATATAAAAATACTATATATATACACATACATACAGAAATTAAAATGTATTTTCTTCCTTATAAAAAAAATTAATTTTCCTCTTTCACACACATCACTCACTGAAGAGCTTATAAATCAGTTAGTTTTTAAATGATTTTGGCTACATTTAAATTTTTTCGGCCATTAGATTTACTTATTTTTTTCTGAATTGAATAATAATATCTTAATCTTCACTTTTAAGAATTTTATCTATGGGATAAATTATCTACATCCATTAAGATTTTTGGAGAAAACCAAATATCCACATAGAAAACAACATTGGTTAACACTGATCACATTATTGTAACAACTTTTAATAGTAATTGTAATAACTATATTTGTGATGTTTAGAAAATTTTGAAGCCTTTCTAATATTTTGTTTTGATAGTTCCACTTTTGCTAAATACAAATAATCCAAAAAATTTTCCTTGGTAGGAAAATTATATTTTATTGATTAAAAATCATCTTAATTAATTTACATAAATACTTCCATAAGTAAGCCCTAATGTAGCAGCTTTAAACAGAGAGTGACTTCTTTCCTGAAAAGCAGAGCAGATGTAGAACCCCATTCATCAGAGAAACTATCTTAATATAAAACTCCTGTGCATTAAGAAGAAATGTATTTTAAATAACTTTTAAAGAAATTACTGTCTTGCAAAACATAGTAGTTGATAATAATCATGGCAGGTTATATACATAAGACAGAAATAAGAGGTTACTCTATCCTTCTGATCATTCCGTTTTTATTCAAAATCGAACACCTGGGAATTCATAAGGCTGTCTTACAAAGATATCCCCACAAATCCTCCTTAATGATTTGCCAGAATTTATTTATTATATTGAAAAGATTTTGTATTTTCTTCCCCCTTAGTAGCCCCCAAACTTTGTATTAACTCTAATATGAAGTGTTCGAAGAGCTACTTGCAGACAACTTGTCAGATTGAGCATGGAGGAAATGAAGAGGTTGGGCGAATGTTGAATATTTGCTACTCTTTTGGACTTGACATGAAAGCAAAGCAAAATGAGACACAGTCAAAGAACCAGCAGAGCTGAGCAACCATGAGCGACATTGTTCAAGGAAAGCCTAGCCGTTCTCTTCCTTTAACCTCCCCACCTCCCTGGGTGCGATCATGTCATTTCTCTTATGCTGTCTGCATCACTCATCTTGAATCTCAGTAATTGTTTATGTCCCTGGATAGGCAAAAAAATCTAACTGCATTTCTAATCAACATCTGCAGTAAGCTGAAGTCTCTTCTAGTCTTTGTTGGTTTGCTCGGCAGGAAAACAATGACCTGATGGACTCCTGCTGTCCAAAATAAAAAAGAAAGAAAAAAACTGAAAAAATGAAAGAAGACATTAAATAAATATTTTACTCATATAGACGTGGGCCTGCTTCAGAAGAGATAACCTAGCATTTGTTAATATTTACTTTCCTTTAGAAAATCTGAATCAGAATTTCTGATAAAATTACTTTATAATGATACTGCTATTTAGGAAACACTGATAGGCCATGATATCTTTGTATTTATTTAGTGCATTCTCTACGCCAGACACTATGAGAAGAAATTGAAAGGTTTTTATCTACACTGTTTACATAGAAGATCATATGAAGAATTTCATTAAATGAATTTCATAAAAATGCAGAAATGCATTTCTTTAATATTGTTCCCTCATTAAGTCATATGAAATCTCAATTAATGGCACATATTTTGATAAATGCAATAAGTGCTTCAAAATTTTCCAGATATTTCATTAAGTCATATGGAATCTTAATTAATTGCACATATTTGGATAAATGCAATAGTTTCAAAAATTTCCAGATATTTCAAAATTGGCTAAGAACAGTGGCTCATACCTGTAATCTCAGCTGTTTGGAAGGCTAAGGCTAGTGGATCACTTGAGGCCAGGAGTTCAAGACCAGTCTGGCCAACATGGTGAAATTCCATCTCTACTAAAAATATAAGAATTAACCGGGAGTGATGGTGTGTACCTGTAATCCCAGCTACTTGGGAGGCTGAGGCAGGAGAATCGCTTGAACCTAGGAGGTAGAGGTTGCAGTGAGCTGAGATCGTACTACTATACTCTGGTCTGGGCGACAGAGCACAGCTAGACTGTCTCTCAAAAACAAAAACAAAACAAAATATCAAAATGCAAGATCAGCTCCCACCTCTTTCACTTGTTAGCTCTGTGAAATTGAACAACTGGCTTAACCTCCCTGAGTCTTCACTGTCCCATCTGCAAAGTGGGAAATGCCTACCTCAATGTGCCTGTGTCAAAAGTAAATGAAAAGACATGAAGAACTTTACATTGTGCCCAATACATAGTAAGCACTAAATAAGTAAGAGCTACCATTGTTTTTCACTACTATATTTTATTATTGTTCCCCACGCCTTATACTCCTTTGCCATTATTACAAAAAAAAAAAAAAACCAGTGACTTTGATTGCAAGAGAACAAGGGGCATACTTTACTTATTTTTGTGTCCCTATCACCCAGCAAACTGCCTGGCACACAGTAGCTGCTTAATAAATGTTTGATTAAATAACAAATATGTAGCTTTTATTGAAGTAAATTGTTCATTATATAATGTAGTAGGCATTTAGCAAATTAGATTATAAATACTAGCTAGAGAAACTTGCACACACAAGCTAATACAGTAATATATGTATTTGAGTTCAAAAATTCATGTGTTCAAATATTGTAGACACTTGTGAATTGACCTTCAACCGTAGTACCAAATGGAGCCTTAGCTATACCCCTTTCGAAAAACTCTTCAACTTGTTACACTTATAGATGATAGTTGTACAACCATTTCAATCTGAATTGAAGCATTTTACAAATATGTGGCTCTTGCTTTTTTCTAAACACTCTTCCATATTTTAAAATGGTTATTGTAAAAAAAAAAAAAAACAGAGACAGAGAAAATGTAAGAATTAGCTCCTAATGACTCTTAATATTCTATAGCATATTTTAGAAAATAATAATCCTTTGCAACAATTCACCAACTTTATAACCACATTTATAGTTTGCTAAACTCTTTACATTTTCACAATGTTTTCCATAGGCTACTGCATAATTTTCATCTATCTAAAGAAGAGACAATTGGTTGCCTTAATTTTATGCGTAGAAGAACTTTCTACCCAATTCCAGGGTTAGAATATTCATCAAATTCAAAAAAGTTGGAGGCTTCTGGGTCATTTGACCGTGCCAACCTAAGGCAGGATTTAAGAATACAGTAGAAGGACCAATCCTGGACAACTGCCCACTGTAGAATTATTTAGGGCATTTCTATGAGAAAATAAAATGTCCTATAATTCATATGTTTTATTAAATTTTTAAAAGAGGTTCTACATTTATGAAGTACTTAAAAACAATATCAGAATTAGTGTAGGTTGCCGTGTTATTCATCCAAAGTAACTTGCCTTCTATTCTAGAATTTTAAGAGCAAATTCAACTTCCCCAATTATGAATTTTCTGGGGAAAAAGAAAAGACTTTTATGAGAGATTACCAAATAAATGTTACAGTAAAATTTTGTAAAAAATGAATACATTATCTCAATAATGTAGCCAAAGGTGGCCACTCCTTGACTGCAAATGACTGGGAAAACTCAGATGTGACCAGGGACTCTCTCAATATTATGTGTTCAGCAGGTCTATCTTTGTTTGGTGGCTTTAGGTGCCACTTACAAAATCAAGTGCTTTTTGCTAAAATGTCTCTTTAGTGCATGTCTTTTAATGGTTTCGTTTAAGGGTGTGTGTTGTATGTGTGTGTGTATGTATGTGTGTGTGTGTGTGTGTGTCTTTAACTGAAAACTGTAGTAATTATCAGCCACGGATAACCTTTTTCATTTTATCAGGATTTCCATCATAATTATTCATCAAATTTTCTGTCTCACTTGCTTAGAAAACTAAATGGGAATATCACCTCAAGTGTATGCTCATTACAACTGGAGGAAAATTATCAGCATCCCTAGGGAAATGCTTTATAATATAACTAAAGTTCATGGAGCACAAACTATATTTAAAGCCAAAATATTGAACATTAGGAAAGCAGATTTAATGCAAATAACTATTTAAGAATTTTTAACTATTAATTCATTTTTTCTTTGAATGATAGTGTACCAAGTGCCTGCTCTGAGAAAGGCATCTTGCTAAACACTAGAGATCAAAGAAAAATGATGTAACCTTTTTCTTAAAGGAAGTCACAGTTGAATGTGGCTAAATAATATGCAGACTATGGAAACCTGTGACCTTGAATTAGTCTTTTATTAGGTGAAGCTGACTAATGAATAGTCTTTAATTTCATGAAATATTTTAGAAATACTCATTTCATTGCCAAAGAAGATAATTTATGCTTCTCTAGATAATTAGTAACTGATGCTTCTCCCATCACAGTCATAGTGCTAGGTTTTTAATACTTACTCCAATGGAAATTTAAAGATTTCCATTTTAGCATCCAATGCAAAGCAATTTAATCTCTGCTACCCATACTTACATATTCATCTGTTTTATTATTGATTTCTAGCTACACAAAATCAGTATGTGTGCCAATACTAAATACAATCTTTTGTCAAATTCTGAAATTGGAAATTTACATAAGGTTTTTCAAATGTTTTATAATTTCTCCTTTACAGTTCTACTTCTCTCATTATAGGAATCCCCATATGTTATGTACAAGAAAAATCATGAAATGTTTGAAGGAAATGACAAGTATGAAGGATACTGTGTAGATTTGGCATCTGAAATTGCAAAACATATTGGTATCAAGTATAAAATTGCCATTGTCCCTGATGGAAAATATGGAGCAAGGGATGCAGACACAAAAATCTGGAATGGGATGGTAGGAGAACTTGTTTATGGGGTAAGCAAATCAACTTATTGAAGAATTTACTTACATATACCTGAAACTTATTTTCCCTTGGGCACATAACAATTTTTAAATGTCTATTACTGTTTAATTTGCAGCTACATTCCAAGAAGCATAATCAGTGTTCAAATCTTCCTTTATTTTATTAATAATGCAATCCACAAACCATGAGAAAAACTGACACTTGATAAGATCAAAATTAGAAAGAAGATAAAAATTCAGAATATGCAGTCCTAGCTTTTTTAAATGACTTCAGGATCTGGAGTAACTGTTCTTTTAAGTTTAATGCTGCCGTGTATAGAACTACAAAACAAATATAATAGTAATCTTGTATTTGATAACTGTAGGAACAGGTTTCCTTCAACCATATAAAGATGGTCATTATTTTAGATAGTTATTTATACCTCCATTGTTTGTAATTACTCATAGATATCTTTTAAGTAATTGGTGAGGCAATCATTATATTACTTTATCCTCTATTAAATATTCATCAATAATGTCAGATTCTTACACTTCTGCTGAACACAGTAAATTTCAACTTTATGCAGTGCCGTCATTTTTTATACTAGTATACATAGCAAAACACAAAAGCTAGAATTTATTCCAAAGTGGACCTCACATGAAAGCATGCTGTGCTCCTCCCTTGAGTGTACTTGATATTGAGGGTACATATTCATAACTGAGGGCAAATACAGCATAAATGTTCCTGCCTGAATCAGAGCAATATCAAGATCAATGTCTTCAGCTACCACTGCAAAATGTCAAAATCAAACTGGCAATTATCACATGCTAGTAATAGCATAATATTTCAGAAGTCCAGAAACCAAATCTGTAGCTCGTAGGAAACTCTATTCATCAAGTAACCATTAAAATAACATATACTTGAAATGTAGTATGAAATTTCCTAAAAGCCAACTTATATTTCACCTTCAAAATGTAGTCTGATTAATCCTCACAAGACCACTTTGAAATGGAGAATTACACAGAATCATCCTTCTTTAGAAAACAATAAAGATAGAAAGATTTAGAACATAACTGAAGTCCTAGGAAGGACTCGCTTTCCAAGCCAGAACTGCAATTCAACAGTTTCATGATTCTGCATCTTGCCTTTTAGACCATGAAGCAATGAACATTCTTTGTACAGTACAGTAAAGTAACTAAAACCTCTGCAGAATGAGAAAATTGTTTGACATTATGAAGCAACTGGTTAGTTTTATATCCATAGGAAAGAATTGCTGACTGCTTAGGTGACCCTAAATGAGAAAAAAAAAAGGAGTTTAAAAAAATAGCAAAATGTATTTTACCACAGAGTTCATTGACTGTTTCATATTGAGCTTTAAATTCCAAAGAAAAGGGTTTCTAAAGCATTTGTTTTTTGGTTAATATTTTAAACTTTTGATACAGTAAGCATAACTTAGATGTTAATATTATTGAAGTTGTTAGAACTACTGTAATTCATTCCCTTTAGAAAATACTCTTGCATATTTCATCTCAAAAAATCATACTTGGATTACCAGTTAGTTATGAACAGCATAACTGACATGAGTTACTTTCTGGGGCACTTGTCATACATCTCTTCTCTGGAGTCCCTACCCACTGGAAAACCCAGACTCACTCTTTTGCAAGTGTTCTGACCACATTTCATTCAGGGCAAATTGTTTAAATAATGAAAACAAAGGATATGAAGGGAGTAGCATAATTCATGAAAAAGTTATGTCAGTCCTATACATGTCACAATAACAAAAATCCCAAAGTTATGCAGTTCTCAAAGAGACAAAAGATAACATAATGGCTATTAATATCATATTCATATTCATTCCTCAGCCAGTCTGCAAGTGGTTAAAGACTCCAATCTCTGATGCTTGAGTTGTCCACTCTTTTCCCAAAAGGAATCTTCTTCCGGGTCTCTTACACATTCCACAGTCTAGGTACTTTCCATTTTGGTGTCTGCAAAGTCTATACTTGTTTCTCAACTTTTTTTTGTTTGTTTGTTTGTTTTCCTACTGCTAACACATACATGAGTGCCTGGTTCCCAGGGCCCTAGTAAAACTAAATCCATTCTCTTCTATAGAACAAAGCCTAATATGTCTAAATGATTAACTTTGCAAAATTATTAAATTTGGATTCATTATATTTTTTTACTTTACTCGTTGCAAACTTTGTTGCTATAATTGTAATGAACCGATTGTCTGTGAAGCATTTACATGTTATCCAACACACCATGTGTGAGACCCAGAAATCCAGAACCTCTCTCACACTCAGGTCCTTTTTGCTACCATGCCTGTGCAGTAAAGCAAATTCACCCTGATTTCCTGCAGTGTGCTGCTTCAGGGCCATCTCCTTGGCCGCTACCACACTTGGGGTGTGTGTGTGTGTGTGTGTTAATCCAAGGGAATAATTCTCAAAGCACATTCCACTAGCAGCAGAATTACCTGTGGGAGACATTTTACACACTCAAATTTGGAAATTACTGAGAGGTCATGAAACAATGCACATGCAACATCCCCGATGTTGGCAGAGGAAGCCCATGTGTAACCTATCTCTACTAGTCTCTTTCTAGACTCTCACATATCTCTAACTTTTTGAAAGTGTCCCTCATTGGACATGGATGTCACCACCTTCATCCGATGTTCACTTTCTATGGCACTTAGTTTTCTGTTCAGAAAACACCTGTATTTCTCTTTATGTGTCTTTTTAAGGCTTCTTCCCTCACTAGTGGGAACTTATATAAATTAAAAATTTCAGAAGATACCTCACAGAACAATGTAGTATGTGAAAGGAGGCATTTCAAGTAAGTGAAAAGATGTGTTATTTATTTATTCCTATTGGTAAAGGAGGATGACAACTTGGAAAATTAACAATTTTCTAACACTTCATCATCGAAGATACCAAAAAGTGATAGGAGAATTACAGATACTAGAATAAAATACATAATATTGATAGGAAAATGATTTTTCTAAAACATGAAACCAAAGGCTGAAAACACACAAAAAATAATTTTATATGGCTACGACAAAATTTAAAACCTATGTATTGCAAGAAAAGACCTGGAATTAAGTTATGGAAACAAAACAATTGATCATTAGGGGAAAAAACTGCAACATATATGGGAAATAAAAGTGAACATTTTAAATATATTTTAAAGTGCTCACAATTTACGAAGTTAAAAAAAAAATGAATACTCAATATGGAAAAGTGGGGGCAAATTATGATAGTAATACATAAAAGAACAAGTAGCTATTTGTTTTATAATAACAAATTCAAATTAGTACAAGGAGATCTAATTTCCTTCCAGATAATTGGGGAAGACAAGTAAAGATAAACAGGTCTTTTCTGAGGTTTAAGACAGAGCATGCCTTTACATAGTGCTGGAGACAGTAGAAATTTGCATAATGTTTCTGGAGAAAAGCTGGGCACAGCACATTATAAGCATTAAAAAGATTATTACTGTTTAGACCGGCCATTCCATTTCTACAAATTTATCTTAAATAATTAAAACATGTGTTAGGATTTGTCCTCAAAGATGTTGCATAGCTTCACTGTTCTAAATTTTATAAAACTGGAAACAATATGAATATCCCTCAAACTTAAAAAATAGTTGAGTACATTTTGACATTTTTCCATTAAAGCATTTGCAATCATTAAAACTTACTTTTAACTTGTATACTGAAATGGAAAAGTGTTCATTATATTATTTGAGAAGAGAAAAAGAATTGTAAGATGTAACGTTCTACATTATTCCTTTTTAAAAGAAATTAAAAACACTCTTCATAGCACAAAGTCTTTCAGAGTATATAGAAAGAAAAAACAAGAGTAGGTGATGGGAATAAAGATAACGTTTCCTAATAGGCTGAGTCATACTAATAAAATCATTAAAATATACTGATTTTTCTAAAGCTAGTTCACATATTACTTATGCAACAAAAATTATACACTAATGATAGCTATGGGGAAAGTAATAACCTTCCAGCAATGGTCTGACTCTTGTATATATGGGCTTTTATGATGTGAACAAAGTTTATTCCCTCTTAAAGGCATATGTGGTCAATTCTCAGTCACCCAAGGAGATGTGACTAAAATGTACCTTCCCCATTCTTACCCCACAGTTGCCCTTGTATCAAGCCCTTGGCCACTGTATAGAACCAGGAGTCCGAGGATATGTAAGAGTCATTGTAAGAGTGGCAGCCTCTATGTAAGAATTTGTATGTCTGAGCATGTTTCTGGTTCCATTTTAATGTCAAGTATATTCCTTTTAAAATAAATTATCAAAACTCCCTTTTATTTGTAGATCATGTGATAGTTTAGTTTTCGCACTACACTTGATTCCAGTTGATTTTAGAGGTGGGGTGATTTACACTCTACACCTTATTTCACTTGATTTTAGAGGTGGTGGTGATCTAACAGAAGCAGCCCAGGCTCAAATCCCAGAGCTGCCATGATGTGTGAATCTCCCTTCTCTGAATCTCAGTTTCATCATCTAGACAATGATAAGTATACGATTCTTATGAGGACTAAAAGAGAAGCTATTCAAAATATTTAAATCAGCATCAGATCAGCATCGGCCACAGAATCCCTTAATAAATGCTCACTATCACCTTATTAAGGCTTCCAATAAATAATCACAATAACATTATGAGGTAAACGGGGAAAAAGTATCCTCATTTTACAGCTATAGAAACAAGCTCAAAAAAATTGCTCAAAATCACAGAACTCTGAAAATGGAGGCTAGTGCCTTATGATTATAATATCTGAGAAATGAATCTACTGTTTTTCAAAATCTTTTTTTTTAATGAAGGTGGAGAAATCAAAATATGTGAATAGCAAGAAATAAATGCCAATTTCCAGATTTTTGTGTGTGTGCTGAATTGGAAAATATCGTCAAACAACGCATTTTCTTTTATCATACAAGCACAGGCTTTATGATCTGTTTTCTCAAGCTGGAAAGGAATAAAAAAGAAAAGACTGTTTGAAATTTGCAAGTCATAATATTAAGGGATGGCCAAGTAATGAATCAGTGGCAATGCTCCAAATGAAACAGAAAAGGCTGCAACATAGCAGCGTTCCTGGCCAGGAAATTCACAAATTCAGCCATATGGAAAGATTGTCAAGTCTCCTCTGCAGTGTCCCAGATCCTTAAAGACTAATACAGTAATTTGAGTTCAACTTATTTTTGCTTATCCACTCTTTTTCTATTTTCTATCCTTTTACCTAATTACTGGAACCTATAAAAATGTTTTGTGCAACTTAAGTAATATCTTATGAAAAAATTACTATTCATTTTCGTATCTATCACTCGTCTTATTCATTTTTGGCACTCCAAAAATAAATGTAGAATAAATGCATGACTGGTTAGCTTTAAATGGATCATTCCAATGCTAATTGCTTCATGAAATTCATTAACCTATGTGTCTCCATGTGTTTTTTCTCTTATAGAAAGCAGAGATTGCTATTGCCCCTCTGACAATCACTCTGGTACGAGAGGAGGTCATTGACTTTTCTAAACCCTTCATGAGTTTGGGCATATCTATCATGATCAAAAAGCCTCAGAAATCCAAACCAGGAGTGTTTTCCTTCTTGGATCCTCTGGCCTATGAGATTTGGATGTGCATAGTCTTTGCCTACATTGGTGTCAGCGTGGTCTTATTCCTAGTTAGTAGATTTAGTCCATATGAGTGGCACACAGAAGAGCCAGAGGATGGAAAGGAAGGACCCAGCGACCAGCCTCCCAATGAGTTTGGCATCTTTAACAGCCTCTGGTTTTCCCTGGGTGCTTTTATGCAGCAAGGATGTGACATTTCACCCAGGTTAGTTTCAAATCTCTTAAGTTCTTCACCAGTTTCCCAGTAATTCTAAATGCTGTGCAGATTCTCTCTCCACATGTTCTTTTCCTGAAGACAGAGGACTATTTGAAACACAGGAAAGACTTGCAATTCCCAAATAGCAGTTTCTTCCAAATTAGTACAAAATGTGGATATATCATAAACATTAACTTTCTCAATAGCAAAGAAACTATGCAATCTATCAGAACTCTCAAAAATCATTTAGTATTAATATTTCATTCACTAGTTTGACAAATGGAAACTGAAACCTAAATTGTAGAATAGGAATTCATTTCCATTTTGTTTCCTTTTAAAAACAAACACTTTTGCTATTATTGCAATTTTTTCCTATTATTGTTGTTGTTGCTCATTTTCAGAAATTAATGTTGGACTTAATTCTCATCTCACATAGCTTAAGGGAGATACCTGGAACCTGAGTCAACATAGTAGGTGCCAGATATACATTGTTTTACATAGCAATGAATAAATTAGCTAAGCAATAGGCAAGAAGCCAACCATGCAAACACTATGCTAGTTTTATGGAATGTTTTTCACTATCTGTGGAGTCATGGCTCCCTTCCTTTGAATACCAATAAGATATAATTTAACCATTATATTCACCAAAAATGCAACCTTCTTTTGCAAGAAAAAATACCTTATTTTTCTCATAAAGTAGCTGAAGGTGTGAAAAGTACTTGCTTTAATTGTTGACTATATATTAGCATCACAAATATATAGATTTCTTCCTTTTTAGAAATGTATGCTTTCTCAAAAAAGAGACATTTGGGACACAATGCAATTTGTGTTTCTTAAGACCTAGGAAAATTATAAATATGCTTAAATTCCAGTAACATAGGAATCTGACTCGAAAACTTTCAATTAAAGAACTAAACAGAAATCAAAGTAAATCAAGTAATGGTTTTTAAAAGCCAGGCGTAAGCAAATATTAAGTTAAACCCAATAGGTGTCTCTTTTATAATCATAAGTATTATAATAAGGGAGTATTTAAACTTTGTAAATGCCATGAAAAATATGAAATCATTCTTCAAGTTTTCAAACAAATGTTTTACAACAATTTGCCACAGGAATTTTAAGTAGTTTGATGGTTACGATAAGTGAGTTCAATGATGAACATTCTCTGAATTTTTTTACTCACCCCCTTCTCACATTTGCTCTGCACTCACACTCACCCACACATCCTTGATACCAGAGAAAGAGTGAAGAGAGAAAATTGTATATCAGTGTGTAAAGATGCTTTGAGACATGGTTCAACCTCCACTTAGCTCAGGAGTAGACTATCAAGCAAACAAACAAAAAATCCTCAACTATGGTCACTTCAAGACCAATTCTAGACCCTCATCTCACCCTGGCCTAAGTTCCATCATCCTGGCAGGGCTCTGACTGAAGGTAAAAACAAGTTCTCTCCTTTTGTCTCAGAAAGGTATCTACCAACTTGCATCAAATCTAAGACCCCAGTCACTGTTCATATGTATTGCTACTCTATGTACCACAAAGAGAGAAATAATGCTGCCAATTAAACCATGATACTATATTTTATCTCATCAACCATAGGCTGCATCCTAATTTCAGAGATGCTAAGAAATGAGGGCAGGAGATTATTAATGAATTCAACTAAGTATTCCCCTTACACAGCTGAAGAAAAGCTATTAAGTTTTACATTTCTGCCATATTCTTTAAACAATAAAAAGGAAATGGTTGTCATATTTTCAGTGGCATTTATATATTAAATACACCATAGAAGATATCAGATTATACAGAAATCTAGAATTATTCTTGAGTAGACTCTCAGAAAATAAAACAATACTTGCAATCATGATTTTTAAATGTGCATGGTGAATTGATGGTATTTCTTTTCTTTCTCTATGTTGGTTAGAGAAAGGAAAATGTGCATTATTTTATCCATGTTTAGATCCCTCTCAGGTCGAATTGTTGGAGGTGTTTGGTGGTTCTTTACACTCATCATTATATCATCTTACACTGCTAACCTCGCTGCTTTCCTGACGGTTGAGCGAATGGTCTCTCCCATAGAAAGTGCAGAAGACCTAGCCAAACAAACAGAAATTGCCTATGGAACACTGGATTCAGGGTCAACAAAAGAATTCTTCAGAGTAAGTTAAGGGAACAACTAACACTGAAATGTTTATCATTTTGAAATTCAGGCAATTTTTATAACAATTATATCATGGGCTTTAGCTATTATAAAGTTTACAAACACAATGGTAATAGCTACGTTTAAGGCTAGTACTTCTAACTGAATTTTATAATCACTTTAATTTGCAGAAGGTAATTGACTTAGTATATTGCAAGAGGAACACTCTCTAGGGAGTAGTAACAATGAAAAGGTAATTAAAACAATTTTACAACATAATTTATCCAAAACATTCCAATGTTGATAATGCTATGATAATATTGGATCTGGTAAGACTGGATTTATGTATGATTTTGGCTGATAGCATAAAAATGAAAACTTGACTTTTGAAGAATACATTCAACTTGCTGCATTTGAAACATAAAACCTTAATTGCAGATTATACTACTTATATGAGTTATATTATTCTATAATCTATTCTGTAACAATGAACTTCACAGCAACATATTTGCTTTCTCACAAGGTAATAACAGCAAGAACTTTTCCATTCTAGGCACCTCTCTAGGACATTGTATGGCATTTAGTTTGTGCTGATTTCTCTGCTTTGCAGATAAAAATTTTCCAATTGATATAACTGCATTACATATATGGATACCTGTATAATTGCGTTATATATATGGATGTAATTGCATTGTATGTCCCTTTGACCTTCCATCAGAACAATACAGGTTTTCTTTTAGGTTTTTTTAGTGTTTGTTCCATTATGGGGATGAATTTTTTTTATCAAAAAATCCTTTTTCTACTCATTTTAAATCCACAGCTCTACGCTTGGTAATGTCTGATAACAGATAGGCATTCATTTTGTGACTTCAAAACCCCAAATTTAAAAAGTTGCCAGAGTGACATTTTTATGAATATTGAACTAGGTAAAAACGAACTCTTTTTATATTTATGTCAATTGTTTAAACACTAGAATATGTAATAGCATAGAAGACAGAACATACATTTTATTACTTTCTAAGCTTTTGTGTGAAAGTAATAATAGTTCTTTGTTCGTGACTACATATAGCACTTGAGAGATTACATTTCCATTTTAAATGTATTTATTTATAATCTTCTCACTCAATTCGGCTTAATAATTATAAACAACAAAATGTGCTACTCCTTAGGCCAGCTTTAACTTTTGTATACTTGAATTTCTGTAAGATATTTATCCTTTTTAAAGAAAATTGATTATAGTATCCTAATATACTTCAGATGTTTACATAATATCATAGCAAGAGCAAATCACTCAAAAACTCAAACCCATCCTTGGGCATTGTTTAGAAAAGAAACTAGACAATCAACAATGTACTTGTCAACAATTTGGAGTATTATTATATATAATCCAAAATGTATAAGTTAATTACAAAACACTTACAGATTTTCTTAAAACTGTAAGTAATATTCATGACAGTAGATTTGATTCACAATAATCTATGGATAAAGTTAATTAAACAAACTTTTTTAAATTTACCTAGCACATCCCTATTTCTACAGCTTAATAATAGAAACATTACTACTCTAATGTATTTTAGCATAATTTCAGTACCGTGCTGTCAGTTTATAACTGCTCCCATCCATAAGTAAGCAGGTAAAATTTAATGATTTCGCCTAAAAATCACTATGTATATGCATCAAAATAAAATACAAGTTTGTGCTATCATTTGCACTTTACTGAAAATTGATGACTGTCATTTAAATAAAAGACATTATTTGCAGGCTCATCATTCTGCCTTGAGTGATAAAGGGAAGAAGAAATGCTATACTGATTCCCTGAAAATATTTCAAACATAACTCACTGTAAAGCTCTTTAGCATTAAGCACACTGAAAATGTTCATTTCTAATCTTTATAAAGTTAAAAATGCTTAAATTCAAAGAACTGGTGAGGTAGATAAGAGAATATATTAAGAGAAATGTAAGAATGGGGAAACCTGCTTCCTAGATTTATAGAGTCTTCCATACAAACTGTGCAAGCACCATTCCTTGTTTCCTTTCTCTCCAATCCAACTTCAGTTTTTAAATTGGAAGATTTTTATAATATAGGTATCTATTGTTGCAGAACATTCTGAACTCTCATGGGACAAGAAAATAATTTCCCCTGGCAGCACGCTTTCAGGAAAGCATAAATTTGGGTTCTTTGATAAAAATTTCATTCATTTCTTACCCTGTTTGCCTCCCTCCTCTCCCATACATGTTGACCTGGTTTAAATAAACCATTTGTCTGATGGGCTGAGGAAACCAGAATGTGAAGTGTATTTTTGTACCTGTCAAAATCATTTTCTCATAGGAACACATTAATGGTACATCTATCAGCTCCACTAGGCTGCCTCAGGCAATGACCTATACTCAGTGCTTCAGAAAAATGTAGCAGTTATAATCAACTGAAAAAAGAATTAAGCCACAGGGGAAAACTACATCTGAATTCAACTGTTGCCTTGGTTTTGCCCCATTATGAGACTTTATATGCTTCATGTTTTGTGTGCCATGGTAAGCCTAAACATAGAGGCATTTAAAGAGTCTGTACTTGTCACTTAATGCCAGCCTTGCTGTTTTGGTACTTTCACATTACTACACACCTGACTTAAACACAGTGATTTTCATTTCAATGCAGTTTTATCCTGTGCCTGTCTCAGTCATCAGTGAAATCGTGAATGCATAAATGATGTGCATTACTATCTCAGGGTTTATAATATTACCAAATAATGCATTGATGAGCTCTCACTAGAACATCAGTCTTGCCAAGTAAGCTACTAGAAGGGGGAAAAAATTCACCAGATAGATAGCAATGTAAACATTAACTATAATACATGACATTTGTACATAGTTTCTATTAGAAGCAGAAATGGTGGGATACTTAATTTAGGGACAATTAAAAGGATAGCACATTTTTTAAATTACAAGAATTGTTTTAAGCAATAAAGCAGTGCTTTAGATCAGATAGTTCCCCATGCTTTGAGTTTCACAATAAAGATGAAATAAATCGATCTGATATTAATTTTCTAATTTCAAAAAATAATGACTTCTATCTTTTCATTTTCCACACCCCAGTCTTTAAACATACACTACAGTTGAAGCTTTTAGGGACTTAAATGTTCCTTTATCATTGTACCACATACAATGACACTTGATACAGAGACCTACTGAGCTTGCTGGATCTGCAGAAATTTTCTTCATTTTAGCCTGTCTCATCAAATTTATAAATATTTGCTTGCCCTCCCTCCTTAGCAATCACTCTCTTGTAGTCACAGATAAGGCACAGGGATATTACTTCCAGTCCTACGCCACTCGATTCCCCCTTGTCCCTTTGTCCTGTGTATATGATCTTATCAGAATCAGATTTTCTAAACATAAGCGTGGTGACAAACCAGGCTAATTTCTTTTTTCAAAAACTTGCTTTTATCTTTCCATTTTATCTATATTTTTTCATTTTTATTGTACCTAAACCCTCTTATATTTAGCATAGCTACTCTGTGGATTACTCTTTCTTCCAGATTTTAAAGGGATTAGTTCAACTTATTTTGCACTTAAGGCATACATAATTCAATGTATTCAAACAAATGCAGCAGTAATTTTCCACATATTAATATATAGAAATGGACTATTAAAAATATCAATGACCAAAAGGTACTGTATTCTTTTTAAAAAGATTTATTTGCTTTAATACTATGCTGCATTCTATAGTCAAGTGATCTCTACAAATACCAAATCCTAAAAATACACGTTTTTCATTTTGCTATGTTAGTTTTGTTTAACTGTCCTATTCTTTTAATAAGCTACTTATTTGTAACTGGAAAATTGCCAAGTAATTAGCATGTTTTTCATATTCTTAATTCCATAAAATAGTTCAATTAAAGCAATATTCACACTGATTTTATTTCTTCTGTTTACAATGTAGTGTACATAGTAAAGTATACAATGTATGTGAAGCTCTATACCTTTTTGGGTGAAACTCTCAAGTCAAGATTTAAATATATTTAAAAAGTAGTTATGTGTTTAAAGGAAGTTTACCAGAAGTTCTCTAAAAATTAAAATTATCAATATAGATATTGAGGGACAATCTGTATCAAGTGATTCAGAGAGGTAATATTTTTCAGAACTTGTAAAATGAAAGAGTTTGTTCTCTGGAACAGAACTCTATTTTTAGAGATGGGATGAATGAAGCATGGCAACATGGCATTCCTAGTGGATTCTATACTTGAGGGTTTGGAATCCAAGTACTTATCTGTCCTGGAAGGACATAGAATCATTGCAGTTTTCAAATATGAGGATTCTGTTGCCAGAAGTAATTTGTCATTGCCTAAATACACACACACACACACACACACACACACACACCCCAATCTTTATATCATGAGATATTTTTTCAAGTGTTAATAGCATAAAAACATTACAAAAAATACTAAAAGATGTCAATTTCCCACCTTGATATTTATCAACATTTGGATATAAGTTACCGGCTAGGTGCGATGGCTCATGCCTGTAATCCTAGCACTTTGGGAGGCCGAGGCGGTGGATTACCTGAGCTCTGGAGTTCAAGACCAGCCTAGTCGACATGGTGAAACCCTGTCTCTATTAAAAAATACAAAAATTAGCTGGGTGTGGTGGTGGGTGCCTGTAATCACAGGTACTTGGGAGACTGAGACAGGAGAATTGCTTGAACCTGGGAGGCAGAGGTTGCAGTGAGCCAAGATCACGCCACTGCACTCCAGCCTGGGTGACAGAGCGAGACTCCATCTGTCCTCTCAAAAAAAATGAATATAGTTACCATAAAATATCTTTTCTTTGGTGTTCAAGTATATAAATCAGTGATTGTGTGGTTTATTAGTTAGGTTTATTGATTACTTATTTCCGAACTTATGAAATCAAAAATTTGAATCGTACTTTTATTCATTTCTTTCTTTGTCTGCCTGAATAATTTGTCTTTGTCCAGGTATTGAAGTTATATGTTGATTAGTAAAGAACTGCCTCTTGTTGAATTCTGTATTTTGGTAAACAAAGGAAGCTTAACGTAAATAAATGTACACACTACTCAGCATTGAGCCTCACACAAAGACATAAGTCTGAATGAGGTCTTCATTTTTTCTTTTTTTTTTGGATTCAGATACAAAATTGCAGCCCCTTGTTATTGAAAACAAATGCAGTTGCACCAGACAAGATTCAGGCCTTTTTTTTTTTTTTTTTTTTTTTTTTTTCAGATGGAGGCTCACTGCAACCTCTGCCTCCTAGGTCTGAGCAATTCTCGTGCCTCAGCCCTGTTAGTAGCTGGGACTACAGGCATGTGTTGCCACGCCGAGCTAATTTTTGTATTTTTAGTAGACACAGGGTTTCACCACATTGGCCAGGCTGGTCTTGAACTCCTGATCTCATATATTGAACTTTATGATCAGGTGATCCACCTGCCTCAAGGTCCCAAAATGCTGGGATTACAGTCTGAACCACAGCACCTGGCCAAGGCTTTTCTATCTTATTAAACGTATCTTTTAGAGACATTTGAGTTCACTTAGATATATTCTCACATTAAAAATGTATGTGTGAATGAAAAATTTAATGCAAATGTAGATAACAAGAAAAAGGACTTGGGTAAATTAAGTAGTGAGAGTAACGCATTAATAGATAGAGCTCAAGTAGACAGAAGTAATTTACAAATATAAATAAGTTTCTTGGCTGGAGTCAAGAGGATTAGAATGACCAACTCCCTAAAACACAAAATTGGAAAATAGGAATCACTTCTCTTTGAAGTTCAATATATGTTCTATTTGAAAATTTTTTCATAAAAAGTCTAAAAATGTTTCAATCAACCTAGAGTTTGATTCTTGTGTTAGGGATATTTGGTTTATAAGCTATACCAGGTTTTGCCTCTTCCTTTGGTGTTCAATTACTGACTTGATATTGACTGTATTTTTGTATATTTCTTACTAGAATCATGTGCACTAAAATTTGGGGGCATGAAAAAAGAAAAAATAAAATAACAGTCAGACATGGTGGCTCACACATGTAATCTCAGCACTTTAGTAGACTGAGGCAGTAGGAGTGCTTGAGGTCAAGAGTTTGAGACCAGCCTGGGCAACATAACGAGACCTCATCTTAAAAAAAATTTTTTTAATCATCTGGACATAGTGGCATGCACCTGTAGTCCCAGCTACTCAGGAGGCTGAGGCAGGAGGATCTCTTGAGCCCAAGAGTTGTAGGTTACAGTGAGCTATGATCATGTCACTGCACTCCAGTCTGGACAACACAGCAAGACCCTGTCTCTTAAAAAAACTTAAAAAAAAAAAAAACAACAACCCTCCTTGTTTGTTATAACTAAAATACAGTATTAAAAGGAATTTTACAAACTTGAAGTAAAATCTTAGCTTTTTTAAAGTTTACCACGAATGTGATATAAAACATGATTTTAAACGATGAAGTCTCTTCATCGCAGTCTACATTGAAAAAAACAGTAATAGATCACTATTTAAGCAGTTGAGTGTCGTAACTGTTATGGCAAGAGGTTTGGGCTTCTTCAGATATGACTTTTAAATGTCTATCATTTCCATGATTTCCTTAAACAGTGTTAAAAGGCAGTTTTCCAATTTGAAAAGAGTAATATTACTATTATATTACTCTATAACAAATGGGAGTTAGAGAGCAATGGAAAGATACTAAAACTCTTTATTCTTATCTTGGTTCAGTGAATATTAACATGTTGTTCCCTTCTTTCCTGTATTTAATTTTATTTTAATTTCCTCCAGAGATCAAAAATAGCAGTGTATGAAAAGATGTGGACCTACATGCGATCAGCAGAGCCATCAGTGTTCACTAGGACTACAGCTGAGGGAGTAGCTCGTGTCCGCAAATCCAAGGGCAAATTTGCCTTTCTCCTGGAGTCCACTATGAATGAATACATTGAGCAGCGAAAGCCATGTGACACGATGAAAGTGGGAGGAAATCTGGATTCCAAAGGCTATGGAGTAGCAACGCCCAAGGGTTCCTCATTAAGGTGGGTGGAATAGTATAACAATATAACATGTGTTGTTATAGTATTCCACCTTCCCTGATGTGCCTGAGAGAATTATTTTGTTTTGTGTGTGAACATGGTATGTTTGTTTGTTTTCTTTTTCTCCATTTCATATATTTTGGTCAACAATCAGGTAATTTTTTTAAATTTTGGGATAATTAATCCTCGTTGACATTTATCTTTGAAGGCCATATAAAAACCAAACTGGTTGAACACTAGCTGCTTCCAGTGGGCCTAAGGCATGGGTAGCATATGCTTCTTTACATCTCATCAAATTTTTTTGGTCACCGGTATCTACACTATCATAATGTCAGTGATAATTCTACATTTTATCATTTTTTTAAATTATGCCTGGCCACTAGTCTCTGAGTAAGAAGAAATTAACCTCTTTCCAGCAAATCACTTTTTTTTCCATTTCGATATTTTATTTATTATGGCATCTTTCTATTTTAGATTATCTTGAGGTTGTTTTCATGCTAAGTTTGAAATCACATCTATTTATAAAAGCAATCATAGTCAGAGGAAAAAATGAGCTCTGGTTTTATAGTGCTTACTCAAGTCACACTCCTGCCTATTTTAAAGGGAGTGTGGTGTAAGTAAGATCTGTAAAATTAGACCCAATGGCAATCCAAAAATGCTTACAGATAGACCCCTGAAATGAGCAAACCATTACATGTGTGGATTAAGTGAGACTTTCATTCTTATGGAAATATTGGTTAAATCTGCCCTTTTCATCCTTTTGGTCCTGGACATAGAAAATTCACATGTTTATGTCCAGGAGGCAGAATTTCCTCTTTTCCTTAAGCAATAAAGGCTGCTGTTGAATTGATGGGGCTGGATCCCATCAAAAGCGATGATCGACAAATTACTCTGGTCTCAGTGCTGCTTAGGAGAAATGTACACAAAGCACAGATTCAAGAGGAAATCAGGATCTTTGCCAAAGGACTTAACCAAGAACCTGATCTTAAAAAGTGATGCCTCTGGTAAGCCATTGAAAAGTGAAGGTAATGAGACCTGTACTATTGCCTAGTACAAATGAAAGCAATATAAATATTTTAATTGTTTTCATTGGTTTCAAAAGGGTAACTGCAATGTGCTTTGATATGTGTGTTGGGTTGGGAAGGGTTGAGAGAGATATAAGAAATAAACATCAGTAATGGAAAAGGTTGTGTTAAAGCGATATATTGTGTTTGCAAGCAACACTGTAATAATTAGTGAGGGGTTTTATGGTATGTTACAAAAGTGCAATATTAAAAGAGATAAAACAAAACTAGCCAGTAAAGACAAATATGGTTATGGACTGTGGAAATTTTGAAGTCAGGCTTCATGTATGGAACATACATTCCGTATGAAACTGAAGAAATGTGCAGGGAGAAAGCCAAACAAATAAATTATCTGTAATATATTCTACCCAAAAACAATTTCAACCATTCAGAAACTTAAACTGGCATCAGGTTGTTTCATCTTTGAGGGTTTATTTTGTATGATGCAATATGAAGAATATGTCATTTCAATGAGGCCAAGTAGTAAAGAAATCTCTGTTGAAGGTATGGTTTTGACAGCACCTTAGCGTAAATACTTTTTTAAAAATAGGAGGGGAGAATGCAATGGTGGTTAATATGTAGATCAGTGTTCAGACTATTGATTACATTCACTGGATGTCTCTCTTGCACTTAATTAATTCTCTGTGGATATAGCTGCCTTGTCCTCTGTCTTGTGTCTACTGATAAAGTCAAGCTTCAGGGACTGAATTTGGCCTTCAGTGACGGGTTCGCCTGACTCCCATTAATGGCAAGAGAGTTCCCTCTTAAATGTGCCACTTTGTCAAATCCACACTACAGGGATTGTTTGGGGAAAAGCTGAAGGGCTTCATCTGTCCAGAACTGTATAATAATCACCCATTGGCTTCCCCCTCTTTTCCTGTCCTTCCCTGGACCTTGTTAATGAGGCAATTGTTAAATTAAGCTTCCTGGATGGAGAGTTTGTTTATGCACTTTGTTTTATATATGCCACAATTTCCTGAGCAAGCTGGCTCCTGCATGCCAAAACCACAGTCATTTTGTCCTGCCTTTGAGAACACTGGAAGGGAACTGAAGGCTGACCAGCATGCACCTCACCCCACCTCCTCTCTGTCTCATCTTCAGCCATCTAAGCAGGAGACTCATCAGGCTTAAATTCTCATTCTTATCCGACTAGGATTCTTCTGTTTCAAATGAGACAAACTAATGCAGAGATGGACTAATAGTCATCTTCTGTATAAATGATTTAGTTTGTAGAAGCAAATTCAAAATAATTGTATTCATCAGAGCAAGGTCAAGAGGACATACCTGTATCAAATTCTTTGAAACCTTTCTTATTCAGTTCCGTAGAGACTTAAGTCTGTTTTCCTATACAATCTATCTTTTTAAAATCAGGTCTTTAGGTTAATAGTTCTGGATGTAGTGAGACTTTTGTATTGTACTGTCATTAACAATGGCTTTCTCACAAACTCTGCTATTCAGATTCATTAGGCAACATAAGACTTTAAGCAAAAGAAAACAGTAATCTGTCCTATTTACATTTAAACAGAGAATGCAGACAAATGAATAGTTATGTTCCATTGGTCTAGGGAGTTTTAAATTCCCAGGTCTTGCTGTTTGTTTAAAGTGCTTCAGAAAAAACGTCACAGAAAAGAGAGAGTTTGATATATAATCAGAATTGAAAATTGGGACTTGGGTCTTTAATGCAGACTTTAAAATAAATGCAATAAGGATCATCGCAAAGAGTAGATCTGTAACTGGACTGAAAAATATCACAGCACTGATGACTAGCACCTGTCTTTACAGTAGAGAATGATTTACAGAGCTCTTTACTGTTCCAAGACTTTATTTCAGACTAGTGCTTGCTGGACATAAAGCAATTAAATTTAAAACCATTGATCTATCACTTACTAATAACAATGGCCAGAAATTGTTGGTTTATTGTATTTTGATATAGATTCTCCAATTCTCAAGTGACAGAACAATGCCAGGTATACGGATCTGGAATCTTTTTTTCACATGCACAGTACAATTTATACTTCTATCAGTGCCATGGTTTTCTTTCTCCTCCCTTTCCCAGTCCCCTTCGCAATCCAAAACAATTGTGAAAATCTTTCTCTGGTTGAGAAATGTCCAAAAGTTGTTTTAAAATATACACTTTCGATGGCATTGCAACGGAATGTAAAGTTTAGAAGAAAGAGGAAGTACATTTATTTTGACTTTACTCTCAATACTATCAACACTATCAATTTTAATATACAAATTGATTATAGTATAGACGTCTACTATACTATAGTATTTATGGTACAATAAAGTTGCCTACGTTACTGTCAAAATACTATCAACTTTGCCACGGTATCCATACTACACTGGTTACTAGACTATTGATTTTACTTTGTAATAAATAAACCTGTTAAAGGTTCTTTCGAGTGAATCATCATTCGGTTGATATGGATTTACTATTAAGTAGCTGTTAGATAAGAATATCCCTTTTAAAGATATTCATAGTGTCTAGTGTCTGTAAATACCTCCAGACAACAAAGCGGTGGGTCATATCTGAACACTTCCTCTGGACCTTAGAACGATTTGTATACTTGACCCTAATGTTTGAAGCCAAGTCAAAAACTCTAGTCACCTATACTTTTATTATTCAACAGTGGTCATTCCCATTCAGACTTTGCCTCCTCTAAAGATGTTTGTGGAACTGTGTCTAAAGTAAAACAAATATTCTGTCACTGCAAAAAAAAAAAAAAAAAAAAAAAAAGGATGCTTTAAAGGAAAGCAGTTCCAATAGAACTTGTATCGGGGGGTGGTGAGACCTGGAAAAAATGAGGCCCAGTTGTACTTGGCAATGACAAGTTGCAGGAACCCATGGCAACCGGAACCGATCCAGTGAAACCAAGCACATCACACTTAGGTTACAACAGGAAACTCAGAGCCCCACAGTAATAGCACAGCAGGGGGAGGAAGTACTCAGCATGAGAATTAGAATACCACATCTCTCATTGGACTTTTCCTTTCAGCATTGAACAAAACTACTGGCCTCATAAGACACTTGGCCTTAGCCTAGATCTACATTGGAGTGAGTAGAGTTCTATGTAGGTCAAATTATGCTTCTTCCACTTTGGAGAATTTGCTAGGGCAGGTGTATTAAACTTAGTATGAAAATTCATGTCTGAAAACTGTATTATCCTAAGGAGCTACTTTCACATATAAAATTTGTGGGATATATACTTTAGTTCAGGAGTACTTAGAAGGTTTATGAAGCACTTAGAAGGTTTTGGAAAAAGGAGTTTGCTGGATATTTTATGTGAGCATATTATTTTAGTCTTTTTTTGGTATTAGAAACAAGTCAACTGATAGTATTAAAGTAGATACTAGAAAAACTCAAGTGTACAGAAGTCTAAAGCTGAGTACTGAGTATATTTGGCCTCAAATGAAGAAACTTTTAACATGCCTTGTGGAAATGAGTTGCAGTGGGTTGGTACATAAACACATTTTTTTTATTTTAACTATTATGAAAAGAGATATGTATTTGCTTATGAATACCCTTCATTTTTAGTGCCATATTTAAAGATGCTATAGATAACTTATTTTTTCTAATCCCATTATATTTTGAGATACAGTCTGTTGGGCTAAGGAGTAGACAAACACACACAACAAAAATCATTTGCATCTCTCAACATATACACACAAACACACATAAATCTTTTCTGAGATATGCTTAAAAGAGCTACCTAGTTTGCTATTAAATATACTGCTATTGTGTGTACCAAGTATTTTGCATTTACAAACTAAGACATCACATGGTGAAGGTATCAATGCTACTTGTGTCCCAGGGAAAAATAATTGCACAGTAGAATCCATATACTTCATTCCTCTCTTCCCAGATGTTCACTACACTAGGAAGGATGAAACTTACCAGGGCCATTTTAAATTCTAAATTTTTCATTTAAATCCTTC